CCTGATTAATAAAATTAAAGAAATACTCTCGCTTTTAATGTATTTCGACCGATCCCTCTTCGTAGCATAAACACAGTTGGACACGGCGGCGATACGTTTAAAGCATCCGAGCATCATTTACAAAAGTTTTTCCCGTTCTATTATCAGTGCCCCTCCATCAGAAAACTTTCGCGATTCATCGAATTTATCACTGTACCCCCAAGTTACCACGGGTGACTTTAAAATTTACAGCTGCAATCGTTCGGTTCAAACGATCCCCCAAGGTGTTGCCCAATTTCTGGATGTCGACTCTCTTCCCCGGGAAACGTATCTGCGAAGACTCAATAAGAGGATCATATCCTTTCGATTCTGCATATTATTTTACAGACCATTGATACGCCTCAAGTATTATCTCATAATTTATTACTCGATCATCGTGTTCAATTGAAGAGCGCTTCCCGTTTTTACAATTTCTACTCCAAACAGTTAATTCACTGATCTAGAACAAACCACTCGACACTATAATTAGCTCACTATCGAAAATAACCAGGATACTCGCGAAATAAACGGTTTGCCCACGGCCCGATGCGCTTCTAAGTTACAAGGCCGCTTAACCAGCGATTAGCAAACTGCGTGGAACACTGGGAGAGGGAATACGAGTTTAACAACGATGGGAAAACAATTGGCCGCGATTTGAAGACTACTCGACCGGTCGGAAATTGAAATCGTTCGTCAATGGAAGCCGCGAAAATCCCTTGGTCAAGCGGTCGATCGAGCAGATTTCCCAGAGTGTGGGTTATTTTCGACGCAAAGTGCCGCGAACTCGATTTCAGGGGTTCACTGGTGAAATGAACGCGATCCGCGTAAATGCGGCTTAAGGGGACGAAGGAACTCTGTTCAGTCTGTCGGCGCACCCTGCAATTATCGCAACCCCCGTGTTACGCGCGGTCGGATAGTACCGATGAAAGGACGGCACCGTATGCAAACGTTTTAACATGTGTAAATTCGAACTTCGGCTTGTCTCCTATATTGACAAAAATAAACGACAAATCAAAAACTGTAATTTATAACGAGGAAAATCAAATCGAATTACCGATTTATCTCTACACACATTAACTGACTTCTGTATTTTCTACGTTAAAGATTCTAACGATGATTTATTGGGAAATACGAGTAACACGAGACGAGCGAGGCAATCAGTTTCTTCGATCAATGACCAAGAAGGGAACCCAATCAAGTACCCAGCCACTTTTCCACGGCATGGAGCCAATTCGCCATCAACTCAGTCCGCCTCTGACCAATTTTAAAAAGCATTCTACGCTACGCGACGTTCGAAAAGCTGCGTTTCACGGAATGATAGGTTAATTGGATGAACCGGAATGGTTCGAGCGTACTCCTCGCTTTCGTGGGGTCCTCTCCAACGAGCGAGAACCAGATTTTTCGTAGAGAAATACGGCCACGGAATACGATTAAATATCCTTTCTACTTCCCGTTTCGCAAAAATTATTCTCCGACTCAACCGATTTGTCTCGATCCCTTCCTTTCGTTCGACACTCTCGAATTGGATTTTTTTTATCCCGCAAGCCTCGACCGACCCCTGTGGCGGTGAAATATTTTCCCTGACCAGTGTGCAAACACGTCGCTCCATGCCGAGCAAGATTAGCCGAGCCGGTCTGTATCCGAGGGTAACTTTCAGAGGATCGTTGGCACGAGCGAGAGACGACGAGTCCAAAGTGAATCAATGGAGGTTGATTGGCCTGGCCGGCCTTCGACGATTCGGGGGTTGGTCAATTACATGGTCCGTCGTACGACTACAGGCCGCAATGACACCCGTGATTTTCGACCGGCTACGCGACGCGGTGTGCACGTGCATGGGAGTTTCGTGCCTCTAAATCCGCGAGGGCCCTTCGCGACGACATCGCCGCGTTATCTCGTTGAGAGAACGGTAATTCGTTTCACAAGAATTCGGTTCAGGTGCGCGAACGTCATTCGATTACAGTTCGTTGCTATCATTGGATTTGTGGGGATTCGATCTTCGTACGGATTCACACTTTTTCCTCGACGCAATCAAATAATACGTTATTATTTAACACGTTGACCAACTACGAGATAACTCGTAATTTGCGTTATTGCTTAGAACGCCAATTACGAGTTATCTCGAAGTCTGTTCCCTTGCCATATTTGTGCAGATACGATGAAATTGATAGTTACTATGTACTAAATGTAATTAGAATTTTTAATAATGTAATATTAATATTAAATTAAATTGGCTTTTTACATAGAAATCCTGAAAAGTACCGTGGCAGTCAACGTGTTAAGTATCATACAACCACTGATCTAACCGATTTCTACGTACATACATAAAGAATGTTGTCCTATTGGCCACGTCTGGTATTGTGTGCCATGTAATTAACAGACTACAGATTTTAGGCATTTCTAGAAAATAGGATATCAATTTCTGAATGGACTAGAAATGTTGTACGATCTAATAATTAGGCTCGGAACAGATCTATATTAATTTCAGTCATTTCACGAACAACTGTTGAACACAGCTCGGCAATCGTGCAATCCGCGGTTTGTAGATGAAATGCCGCGAATGAAAAATTGCAGCGTGGTCATCGCAGCTATGACGACGGCTAATACGTCCTATTTTGATGCGGCAATGGATACACGCACGTCGTTTACAGCGAAACTACCTTAACGCTCGTTACCACATGCTTGGGCAATAGATGACCGCTCGTTTTGTGGTAACCCATTCAAGTTACCCCACGATAATTAAATCACTCGCCGGTGCTTTGTCCCGCATCAAACGGAAAAGCAGAACATTATCGCATCACATTTCCCTGATGAAATGCAATACTTGCGAACCGATAAAACGATTAATAAATTAAATTTCATGGCTTGAAAGTCGATCGAATCCTCAAGAAATTCTTCGTTCATTTTGATCAACGGTATATTCTAATTCTTGGCAGTGACCTGATTTTCGCATCGAACATCGATTTTCGATAATAGGTACATACAATCTCTGAGCTACGTCGACCGGAATTCTTCATTAGAGGATTCACGCTTTCGAACTGAATTCCTCTGGTAAGAAGCAAAGTTAAATTGTTAAAGAAACTGGCTCGAAAACAAATCCGATTTTTTGTACGCGCAGCAGGTAACTACTATCGTTCGCGAACTATGCGGAAAAGTAAGAGTAAATTCGAAGACCGGTAACGTGAAACCGTGAAAACTTGGTCTGAATGGCCGTAGGCCAGCGCCGGAAGCCTTTCATTGCCGACAATTCAGACAATTCGCCGTTGACAGATCGGATTTGCGACGAGCCAGCAATTCCTGGCGTTAGCGTACACTTTGGTGACGTAATTGAATTTTCGTATTACCATGCGTCACGTGACGCCTCGCCTTCCGATTTGGATCGACCTAAAAATCGTTAAAACGGAATTGCGAAATATCGCGTCCTACATTTTAAATAAATTGCGCAAACTACGCGAGTGGAGAACGTTTCCCGGGAATGTCGGTGTTCCATTTTGTTCAACTTTTTAATGAAATGTACAACTCTGTTAGACACGTCCGCGATCGTCACGATAATTTTAATGATTAAAATTTATACGAATTATAATGGAACGAATCGACTGATCAGCTTTGATCTATCTCAAGATGACGAACGAAGCGTGTTACGAACTTAAGAAACTGAATATTCGCTCACCGAGATTGAGTAGATTGGAGTAAAGATAATACAAGAGCCATCGACACCAAAGAGAAACCCTGAATCGGGCCTGCTTCAACGTGGCCGCCATATCGCGCGGAATGATTCGTGGCAGACCGAGTTCTCGCCTTCCAAGATCACCGAGTGAACCGAGATCACGCACTGAAATGGCCCACATATTAAACGGCGGCATATCGCCTACCGCTGCATAATGCGAGCCATTGGGAGAGAGCAGGAGAGAAAGAGGAAAGAAGAGTGCCCCGAACGAGGAACAGGGAGGGAAAGTGGTGGCCCGTATGATTCCCCTACTTGCGAACGAACGAATGACGCCATTCGTTGAACTGCCACCAAGATCCGGATGTGAATCTCAAAAGTGTTTACCACCCCCCCATTGAGAGAACTACGGATACTCTCGTGCTTACTATGGGCGAATTTTTAAAAAGTTCGCAAGAAAACGTAAGGTGTGCACGCGAACGAAAAGGAGAAACTGACCAGAACGTAAGGCAAACATCGCGTGACTTGTCGTTGTAAGTTTATGTCGCGGTTACCATTTCTCTCCACGGTACGAGCACGCACTTTATAGGGGATATTATCGTTCTAATACTCCGCGGAGCAGTCTCGTAAAAAGAGTCCAGCGGAATCCTCTCCGCGTTAAAGAAAACTACGAATTTCGCGGTCGTGCCGGGAGATAGAAAGCAACCCGGGTTTGCTTACGATCGTTTTTACTCGCCGGATGGAAACGTCTTTACGTCGGGGAACGTTATACGGTTTACGCGTTTTTCCTCGGGATTAACGTTGTACAAAGAAAAACGACGTCTGTTTTTACGGAGTTCAGCGAAAATTACGACGTAATGTCTCTTAATAATAGATTCGACGGTATCGCGGATGGTAGCGCGCAATTATGGGTCTCTGCGAGCTCGAAACGCGATATTGCTGGAAAGACATCGAACTAGGGATGTTCGATTCTCCACAAAGAATCGATTCGACTCTGAATCGGAATCCGAGAATCGATTCTTCCAAAAAATCTAAATGGAAGAATTGATTCTTTTAAATAAACGGTGTAAATAAATTCATAAATAAGATTGATTTTTGTACCATTTCAACGAAATTATCCCTGATTTCTATGGAATTTGTATCTAACATAGAACGTTCGTCGATTTAAAAGATCAAATTTGCTGTAGTTTTTATCTTCCCGAAATAACAATTTCTTGGATATTGAACGCATCAAATAGTCGACGTTATAAAAATACCGGGCATTATAATAACATCCAGCTCTTAATACGAGCTTTCAATAAAGAAATCACTAATTAAATACCTGATAAGAATTCTGGAGAATGATGATTACTTCAGACAACCTCTGCTCGCGATGATTAGCTCACAATCCCGAAACAGGACACTGCGACGCACTACACTGCCCATCGATTTCGAAATCGGCTTCCTTCATTCTAAAAAAAGGGGGGAGGGAACTTGTAACTCTACTCGTTAAGAAGTATTCGACGATGCATACTTGTACATAGAAAAAAATTTCATCAGAATCTCTCTTGTATGTACAAGCCAATTTTGATCGTCAGCTGAAACAGTTCGACTAGCAAAGGATTTTATTGCGCTCGTTACTAGTTGCCACGACCAGGGTCGTTGCACTATTAACTCTACGCCTTAGTTTTGTCTAGATACTCGGCTCCTTGACCCTACTTTGCATCACGTGCCAAGCCGAGTGGGATCAGGTACCATTTATCCACTATAACCGGTTGGCGATGCTGTAATTCAAACCGCTTCGAGGGTTGCCATTGTTAGCAAACAGAGACATTAGTGTTGGGCCGAAAGTTAACGTAAATACCGAACGTTCCATTCTACCAAGAAAAATATCATTAAGCGTGAAAACCTGATCCATCGCGAGCGATCTAACTTTATTTCAAAAACTCTTTATTAGGATATTCGATATCATTAAATGTTTTAGAAAATAAAACCAAATTTATACGTCTATCAATTTTACAGGAACAATTTAAGATTGCTACGGTATTCGAGATTCCTGAAGCTTTCCAACTTCAATGAAATAAACGCAATGTCCTCTTCGTTGTTACGAATCGGCATGTAATTCGTCCTTTATTTTGCTCAGACTATCCATCGCAATTACACGCAATTTTCTAAAACCTGACACACCTGAGCGAATCGCGATTTACGATTTCGGTCGGGCTTTTTTCTCGCGGGGCTTTTTACCCCGGAAGAGGGGGACGGCATTTATTCGGTCTATCCATTCGCAACGACGTAATTCAAGCCGCGGAGTGGAGGGTGCCTATTGTCAGCGTTAGAAAGATATCAGTGACGGTGAGTTTAGGTACTTAGTCGCGAGTCCTGTATCAAAAGGGCGAAACCGTCCCGAGACACGGCGACGCGTATTGTCAGTAAACGTGGCTTTTGTGCTCCAATTGAACCGCGAATGGATCATTTGCGTCGCGGGGATAGGCACCACGCATTCCGAGCCCGCGAGCTTTTGTTTACGATGATAAAGATGTACTGCACAAGGCTAAAGAATTTTCGAAACCTTTCATTACTTACGGTACGGTGACCGCATGTTTTTCACGAAAAAAAAAACCAACAGATTGATTTGTACATGCCGGAATAAATGAATAACAATACGATGGTTTCGTTAATATTTGTTTCGTTCTCATCCAGCGTGCTTGAACGAACGATGGTCTAAGCTGCCCAAAATTTTCTATCGCTTGAATCCTTAAAGACATTGCGCAATTCTGAGATGAGGAGTGAACGTAAAGTAGTACTCCTTACAAATTATTGCTAATAGAGATCCCCTTATACATTATGTATGAGCTAGGAAAAACTCTTAGAACAGTTTCTAGAGACCGTGAACGTAAACCAAGAATGAGCTCAGTTAAAAGCTTGAGTGGAAGTTTAATGCTCTGCAGTAGAGTAGACACGAGTCTACTTCGGTAGAACGTATAAAAATACACGTGATATAATACCAATACGAAATCGTGCGCTTTCAGGTCGCATATTCTGCCCTCTAAATATAATCCTCATCGAAATGTTTCAATATAAATGAACTTTTTTGTAACGAAACGTCGTCAACATCGAAGACGATCGAATAAGAATATCAGTGACATTCTATCGAACGTCGAATCAAACTAAAAATATAAAATAGAAAACCGTAGTTATTTAAGTGTTCAGCGACAAATAAGAATCTATCGAACTGTCGTTAGCGATAAGAAAATTAGCCTGTTCGTAACCATTTGATGGTTCGTTATCGTCGTTTGTTACGTTTATTCTTTCCTTGGGCAAACGATATGAACGTCGTAAGCTCACGTAACGCCAACTTCCCAGGTCGTAATGCACGTTTTTGTCACGGCACGTAAAGCGAGATTAGATTTAATTCTATCTTCGTTCGAAAGAAAAGCGTACGCGTAGGAATACAATTAAGGTAAGGTGAAATGATGTTGAATAAATCATTCATAGAAATGAAAGTGATGAATTTTAAACTAACGTCGATTTGTGACGTCGATTCGAGTTAGAAAATCGCGAACGATGCACGGGATGAGGACACGGATTCTTGGGAAAGTTTATACTGATCATGGTTAAAGATATTAAGGTCGAGCGTAAAGCGACGATGTAACTTTCCCTCGAAACCTTATATTCTCATATGGCATGAAAGCCGATCAATAGCCTCAAAATAGAACGAATGAGTACACGGTTCATGTCGTACAGAGAGAAACCGAAGAATGAAAAGAGGGTGTGTGAGGAAGCAAAATTTTCCGAGCACCCTAATATCGACGAACTCTGTTTATCAACGACTAGTCGCGAATATATGAATGAAACCAAGAGTCTGACACTGCAAATTTTGCATATCGTGCTCTGACATCTCTCCCAATGCTGTCTTTAAATAAAACTTATTTTTACATTCAGTTCTCGGCGAATATGAAATAATAAATTTCAAAACGACCCATACGTCTACTGAACGACGACTTATATTATATGAATGAAACAGGAACGATCGAAGAATTGAAAATACATTTCGAGTGTTGCATTTGTATTGTTCTGATATTGTTAAGCATGCCAACTGTTATAAAGCGAATAATAAGCTATTATTAAAAATAATTCCGTCGACGTTGTGTTATCGTATTATAGAAATTCTACTGTTAATCCATCACGGTTCTATGAATTTTTAACTATATTTGGTGATTAACCATTAATGTCTCCAATTCGTTATCCGCGAAATTAAGAGAATCGCTTGAATGAAACAAGCAAATAGAACGACTGAATAAGTAGATCGTTAATTAAAAAGTAAAGTACAGTATAAAAATTAACGAACGTCGTTCGCGTCCAACAGCGTGCAATTAGGAAATAGGTATTTCACTTAATCTTACTAATCGTACCTTTTATGCGGACACTAATAGCGCTCGCATTATTCATCTCGTTCATTACCATTAACGATTCTATTTGCTCGTATCAGATTTGCCTATTTAGTGGCAAAACTAGCCGGATTGATGTTTACGCGTTTATACAAGAGATAAAAGAGGTGTTCCACGATTTCTCGTGAACATTAACAATCGCTTGATCACCCGTCGAAGCAATGTAATCTGTCAGACGCGTACGTATATTTACCTTGAAGATGTTCCACGTACGATCGTTCGCCACCCTCGCACACACCTGTTTAAACTCCCGATCGTCCGCGCAGCGAGAAACGCGCGTACACAGATCCTCACGAATTTCGGAATACCGGACACCAAAACGACACAACGAGAATCGCGATTTCAATTCGCGACACTGCAGATCCCTGAACGCGGGTACGGACGCGATTCCGAACTGCGCCACTCCGACATTGTTCCGCGCGTCACAGAGCTACGTACGATGACGCCGCGAGGGAAAACAAAAATAAGGGAAGGAGGGGGAGCGGACGAACATCGGGAGAAGATGAAACCACGTTCTTGACTGTTATGTACCACGCGACACTAACGGTTCGAGGTCGTCACGACGACTGAAGAGCGAAGGCAGAGAGCGACCACGACAGCCCTCGTCCGGGTCAACGCATGCGCCCTTCCCACCCCGGTGCCCAACCCTGTTTTTCCACGGGCCACCCTTACGCTTTTAAATATGTACCTATGCGCTCATTCCTACCTTTCTTTTTTCCTTTTCCTCTTTTCCTCTGCTGCGTTAATGTGAAAGCGCACCGAACGCCCGCCGATGTTACGCAACAGAAATATATCATTTCTCTGATGCAGCCTCATCGTCGTCCTCCGTGATTTATGCGACTCCGTGGGCTGGCCAGGGGTTGCTGCATCACGCGTGAAATATCATTCGCGGATACGATCGATTTAACTTGCGGGTAGTAATGTCGAGTAATGCGAACTTGATTTCGTTGTCCTCCGACCCTGTAAATAATTAAGTCATGCGAATGTATAAATTATAATGTACCAGGGTTTCGCGACAGTTATTAATTATTCATAAAGGCTGTTGTTACATATGTATTTGTGTTATTACGTGCATTATTGCGAATTCATATTGTATGGAAAAGCTAATAAAACGATGTACTTGTTGAAATCAATTATTTCAATATCCCTTTACGTATAAGTCTCGACGACGCGTCTCATACCAACTCGAATATATCCTTTAATGGTTCGTGAAATTTATTTAATAATTTCGATACCATCCGATGATGATTACATCATCAATTTCTACGCGAATGATAATGGGAATCGACTGCTGTGTCACAAGGATTTGGTCATTGAAGGAGCGTCAATAGATCTTGTACAATGTGAAGCACATATTATGTAGTACATAACGTTTGTCAGAACTCTCGGGTCTCTCGAGAACAATAAGCTTCAAAATGTCATCGTTTGCTGGACATGTACCGTTCATTACCTCTGTCCCTTACGAATTTAATAGGAAATGTTATAAAATATAAGCTACGATCCCTCTCGTTGTAAATGACTGGTCGCGATCCTCAATTTAAATGATTGTATTTACGATGAAAATATTTTGGTCTCGTCGTCTCTAGATTGAAATTTTTACCCTTTTCATATTCAAGACCGGTGTCAAGTAATTTACAGCCGTGTACGTAGCTATATCGACCTGGCATTCATTTGTAAAGCACGCCGTATTGCAATGCAATAACAGAAGGGCACTCCACCGTGGCAAGCCAACGCGACCTGATTACCCAACGAATGAAATTTAAAATACGGTCGATGCCTCCTAGAATAATTTTGTATCTCGCGCGGGTACGACAATTTTTCGAGAAAAATTTTTTATCTCTTTACACGTTCGTTCGATACCTACAGAACATACAGGTCTATATTTACTATTGCACTGACCATGATTTATTTGATTCAAATACTATTAAAAGTGTCGAACAATTATAAATATCGTCTCTGACGCGATCTACTATGAACCTTGATAATTCAAGTATTGATTCTGCTTTTCAATCAATAAGGCTCGAGTTTGTAATTATTAATTATCGATTAAATAAATATATAGAGAGAGGCATATTCAGGGAGAGATAGGAATAGAAAAGAATATAAGCATGAAAATATTTTATTCTGTAAACGGCATATCTTTCAATTCGAGTTTTGGAAATTGCACTCTCTGTTCAATCCACTTCGCTACTGTCAGAAGCCTCTCCTCTGTAAAGGAAGGTCCCATGAGTTGCAGAGATAGAGGTAAGCCATTTCTGGAGAGCTTGATCGGTACGTTAACGGCCGGTACACCAGCCATGTTAGCAGGCTGAGTACAGTAATCTTGAATCGAACACTGTGTCTGATTATCCATTAAAATAAAATCATTGTACTTGGGAGCTTCTGTCAATGTGGTAGGTGTGAGAAGTACATCTACATTGTTATCCCATGCGGCGTCGAAATCTTCCGAGATCAATCTTCTTATTTTCATTGCCTTGACGTAGTATTCGTCGTAATTTTCTTCTAGTAAGAAGTAATTTCCAACTAATATACGGTCTTTCACCACTTTCCCGAACGCTTCTGACCTAGTCTTTTTATATGATTCGTGTACAGAGCTCCATTCATCAGCTCTGTACCCGTATTCTATGCCATCGTAACAGGCAAGATTACTGGCTACATCGCAACGATTTAAAACCGCGTAACACATTATAGATAAACTAGTATATGGCATTGACACTGGGCAAACTGTTGCCCCAGCTTCCTTCAAATATTGGGAAACTTCGTCCCAACATTCTTGTACTTCTTGGTTTAAGTTTCTCTCTTTATATTCTGTTGGTATTCCAACTCTAAGATTACTAATATCTATTGCATTTGGTACATCGAATGGTACATAGTCTTTTTGTCTACAAGTAGAATCCGCTTCGTCTGGACCAGCTATACTATTTAAAACTAATACGGCATCGTCGACATTTCTTGTTAGGATACCAGGCACGTCCATGGAATTTACAAGGGGAATAAGTCCATAGCGTGACACTAAACCATAAGTGGGCTTCAATCCAATCAGTCCACAGTAGGATGCTGGATTCCTGGTCGAGCCTCCAGTATCTGAACCTATGGCAGCGTAGCAACTGCCAGTTGCAACAGCCACGGCAGAACCTCCACTGCTTCCTCCTAAAATAGAATGCAACAATTAGAAGACTGTAAACTTACATATAATTATATATAGGTATATATTTAGGAATACGTACCTGTTATATGCCATGAGTTTTCATTCATGGATCGACTCTCACAGTCTTCTGTACACTTATTATCACACACATAGAATTTTGTCAGTAGATCTGAATTCCACAAATTTTTTGTTGGACCATAATAAGAATCTATCGTTCCAGAACCCATGGCAAATTCGTCAAGATTTGTTTTACCGATCAACACTGTACCCGCATCTTTTAAACGTTTATAAACAGTAGCATCATAGGTAGGGATAAAATTTGAAAGCATTTTCGATGCACAAGTTGTCGGGTGACCCTTCGTGCAATAATTATCTTTAATCGCAATGGGAATTCCATCGAGTTTTCCCAATAAACAGCGACTATTTTGTCGCGAATCAGAATTGTCGGCATGCTCTTTGGCTCTATTGCCGGTAACCGTAATATAAGCATTCAAAGGTTTAATGATTGATACTACTTTGATAGCAGCTTTTGTGATATCAGAGGGACGTATGTCGCCTGCATTTACTTTTTGACTTACTTCCTTAATTGGGGCTGTTAATAGTTTATTCATTTTCATTCAATAATAATATACGATGTACGAACGTAACCTAAACACTTCACGTCCTTAATTTACATGCTGACGAAGAATGCAACGACATAAGCTGATCTACGAAACGTGGTACTGATTTATACGAATAATCGACGATACATTAGATGCAAATTTCTTCAATTCTGTGTTATGCAAAAACTGGCAGAAATCATATTATATATAGGCATAGCATATGAATATAGGCATCAAGATTGAACAAGATGGACAATATAATCATATAATGACTTCAAATTTGCGAAGCCACATAGAAATAGTATATTCCCTCCCTCGATTATTTATTATACGCATAAGCAATAAATCCAATTAATTATACACATAAGAATCAAAGCCATTAATATTTCCTTTATCTATTTTATGTCAAATAATTTACCTGTTCTACCGCGAGCGTCACGATACATAGTTATCTTCATACACAAAGAATCTTGACCACATTAGTTTCTTAACAACGAGAATTTTAAACAGAGAAGAATAAATCACTTTTATATACGAAAAACAATCACAATATCACAGTTATAATTCAATTTTTCGACGGTGTTCGAAGTTCGAACTTGCATCGAGATCGAAATCCCCTAATCGAATGCAGGAAGACCATCTGCACTGATCTGCACACAACTTCAAGTGATCCATGCGTCCAGTTCAGAATTTCAGAGCACTGGCCAGTCAGAGGTTTCCAAAATGGCGAAGAAACTTGTAGCGGATAAAACACCTCAAAACGAGGAAAATGTTAAAAATAATGACGATATACTTAATGATGACGAAGAGCCGAACTTCAGCGATCCCGAAGGATTCGTCGATGATATCACCGACGAAGGTACGTGCGATTTTTCCTAAATACCGACGAACAAAACTTGTCCAGCGGTGACTAAAAGCATGGCTACGTACGAACGCAAATGTGGCATGCATGTGGTTAACCTTTGAAAGCACGATTATTATATATCATACGTGGAACGTTCTCTTATAATATTCAGTGAAATGGAAATCGTTTCTGGGACGTTTCTTAAACTTAGAAAATCTAATATTTTCGTTTTTTCTACTTTTAGAACTTCTTGGCGATATCTTGAAACAAAAGCCTTCAGAGACAGATGGTGTAGAATCAGTAATTGTTATTGATGGAGTTCCCCAGGTGGAACCTGAAAGACTAGAGAAACTTCAATCAGTCATCAGCAAAGTTTTGGGAAAATTTGGTACCATAGTGAATCAATACTATCCCAAAAATGAAAATGGGTATACAAAGGGGTATGTATACTTTGTGATTGCATGGAACATGTATTTCCATTAAAAACTAAATCGAATTTAATTATTCATTGATTTTCAGATATATATTTCTGGAATACAACAATCCCCTTAATGCTTTGGCAGCTGCTCAGACTGCGAACAATTATAAAATTGACAAACAACACACATTTAAAGTGAACTTGTTCACTGATTTCAAGAAGTTTGAAGAAATTCCAGATGAATGGGAACCTCCGAAACCACAACCGTTTAAAGCAGCGACTGATCTTCACTATTATCTTTTAGAACCAGACGCTTACGACCAATTTTGTGTACTATGTGGTAACGGTCCCTCCGTTACCGTTCAGCTTTGGCAGAATTCTGCCCCTGAACCATCATTACTCGAAGAACGTGCTGTAAGTCGCCTCCTTTTGTCATTTGGAGTGCATGAATCTTTGTTTATTGTTTATTTACAAACGATTGTTATGTTACAGCGCTGGACAGAGACGTACGTGAAATGGTCCCCATTGGGAACGTACTTGTCAACGTTCCACAAATTGGGTGTTGCATTATGGGGTGGACCCCAATTTGTACAACAAGCCCGATTCAGTCAAAAGGGTGTTGAATGCATAGATTTCTCACCCGGAGAGCGCTACTTAGTAACGTACACTCCGCGTACTGATCTTGGATCAGATCAGAAACGTCTTGTAATATGGGACATTCTTACAAACCAAGAAAAACGTGCATTTTATGCAGACGGTTCTTCGGTCTGGCCGATTTTCCGCTGGTCGCATGATGACACGTATCTCGCTCGTATGGGCGATGATATTTTGAGCGTTTATGAAACACCTTCTTTCGGATTATTGGATAAGAAGAGTATAAAAATCCCCGGTATCAGAGACTTCAGTTGGTCTCCAACTGATAATATTCTTGCTTACTGGGTACCAGAAGATAAGGATGTCCCAGCCAGAGTTACGCTTCTCGAAATTCCGAACCGTAATGAAATTCGTAACAAAAACTTGTTCAACGTGGCCGACTGTAAAATCTACTGGCAAAAATCTGGAGACTATCTCTGTGTAAAAGTAGATCGTTTTGCTAAACGAAAAGAGAAGACGGAACAGAAATACACCGGCATGTCGTACAACTTCGAGATCTTTCATATGAGAGAGAAACAAATTCCAGTTGATAGCGTAGAAATAAAAGAGCCGATCCATGCATTCGCTTGGGAACCTATCGGTAACAAGTTCGCTATTATTCACGGAGAGATTCCAAGCGTTAACGTCAGTTTTTACGAAGTACGATGTGGTCATCAGCCTGCTCTCCTAAAGAAATTAGAGAAGAAAGCTTGCAATCATCTGTTCTGGTCGCCATCCGGACAGTTCATTGTTCTTGCTGGATTGACGACCATGGCAGGAGCCTTAGAATTCATTGATACTAACGATTTTACCATTATGAACTCGACTGATCACTACCAAACGTCGGATGTAGAATGGGACCCGACTGGACGGTACGTTGTAACCGCCGTCTCCAGTTGGAAAACGAGCGTTGACAATGGATACTGGATATGGACGTTCCAAGGACGTATTTTGAAGAGAGTTAATCTTAATCAGTTTAATCAACTACTGTGGCGACCAAGACCACCGACGTTGTTGACGCCAGAACAAATTAAAGAAATCAAGAAAAATTTGAAAAAATATTCTGCACAGTTTGAAAGCAAAGATCGTATGCGGTTGACCCGTGCTTCAAAGGTAATTTAGATTATAATGCATTCGATAATATAAATTGTGCAAATGCTAATGGACTGATTTTATAGGAACTGATCGAGAAACGCTGTGCGGCAATGAAAGCATTTGAGGAGTATCGTTCGAAACGTATTCAAGAATGGAACAATCAAAAGAAACGTCGCTTAGAATTACGTAACGGTTCGTATCTTCGTTATCTCTTATCCTTAACATCTGAGCATTGACATTTTTGTATAATGATAAATTCGTTTTCATAGGTATTGACACCGACGAATTAGATTCTGATGCAAACAATGTGGAAGAGGAAGTAATAGAATTTTTCGTCAAGGAAGAAACGTTCGTCATTGACGAGAAATAAAGCTTTCGTGAAAGAGAAGTTCTACTCTCTGCCATTTTTGGAAATCTCTAGTGCAAAACCGAGAAGTGTGCAGCAAAGTAAATTATCTTTCAGAGTCACATTTAATTGTGACTCTCAATAATAGTGGACTGAAATGACTGTTCTAAGTGGTTACGAACAGTTTCTTTTATATTACTTTTGCAATTTAATTGGAATTGTTTCCACTTTTCCGACGTTGCGTATCAAACGTCGGAAGCATAGAACCATAATGTTTTATCACGTTCCATACAGGATAGTATGTCAATCAACAAATAATTATTGTCAGTATAAATACATACCACCATGTACTTCTTTATTTATCAATCCCTCAATCTAATAAATTTTACCTATTTATTAATCGTGGAGGATATCTACATTTTTTTATTTATATTTTTTAATGGATTTAAAGTATATTCCAAACAATAAAAGAAATTGTAAATTTATAAACGAATACGTTTTTTATTTAATATTTTTTCCAATAGGAAGTAATTAGCACGAGTTGACATAAATTATAGCTTAGATCATGTGCGACGGACTTAAAAATGAGATACAACACTAAAAATAATATCGAAAGAGAACAACGATAGCACATACCCAATTCGGCGGGATTCGATCTTTCTCAACGAATGTCTGTTTCGTTACGCGTTTCGCGCATGAGAACAGCCGTTCGTGTTCCTTCTGCAGTTCGTTTTGTAAATATCTATTTTTCGTCACAATAGCAATCTGAGTTTCTAAATCTTTGTTCACCGATCTGTAGCCTAAAATTAGTCTTCTATATTATTTGCTAATTTGACATTTTACGTAGTTCTCATTTCTTTTACCGAAATTAGGCGACCCAATAAGAGTAAGACAAGGTTTTTCTTGATCTGGCAAAGTGTACCAGAGGCCCTTGGCGTGATAAGTCCATCCAGGCTTAATAAATTCCCATAAAGTTATTCTTTTTTGTTGCCCTAAACTGTTGCAGTTTTTTACAAACGATTCCTCTATTTTAGTGTACGCCGCCGGAATACCGCCGGCGATGCCTTTGGCAGCTAAACACATTTTTATTTGATACGTTGTGTTAACAGTAAATGTCCGAAAAAAAGAGTTTATAAAGAACTTACAAAAGAACCCATTGGCAGTTGGATGTGCTGTCAAGAGGTGACACGTCCCTTGACAGTGTCTAAGTAATGCTTCACTATATTCTGAAGTTAAGTTAAAATAGCCAGTTGCTAGTTTAAGCATTGTACCTGACGGAACAGTTTGTAATAGTTTTAAAGTTACTTGACTATCATGACAAATATTTAGTTGCCCCATTTGTATCAAAGGGAAGACCCATGTATCTGTGTCTGAATCTTTTCCTGTAAATACAATCATAATTTGATTCCATTGCTCTGCTCATTGTCTATTAGCTGTATACTAGTCATCTTCTATCTTATAAGTACCTATTTTATCGAGATCAGAGCGTTCTTCCATTTCCTTTTGGAACAAGGCTTTTACACTGCTTCCAGCTTTTTCAATGAATTTCGTAGACTCTTTAAGAGGATGAATGTTTATAGCCGAATTTAATACTGTACTACCATCCGACTGAAGTACGAAGCTGAATTCTCCTACTCTTTGAACTAAATCATTATAAAAATCGCAAAGTTCTTTACAGTCTTCGATCAAGAAATAACGATCTTGTCGGTTTGTGAAATAATCGTTGCTCAGATTAGCTCTGAAAGATGAATTTGCTTCTTAAATTCTTGTTCAAATGATCGCATGCGAGATTAAACATTAATATTTACCCACTAATGATTATATCATTATCTATCATGTACAATTTCATGTGCTGAAGTCCCACCAGTTCATTAAAACGGTCTGGTATGATCATTTTCAAGAGTCCACGAAGTTTCGGAGTGTGATACAAGAAGATTTGACAACAGTGACCGTATCTCCCATTAAGCAATGGTTCCAACATTTTACGAGAATTTAATTTACCTCTAGACCCCCTCATAAAATCTAATAGAATCTTCACTTCGACACTACCATTACTTGCAATTAAAGCTTCATCTATAGCAGTTACCTAAAGTAAAAACCTTATCACTCATCGTACTGAACTCCGCTTACTTAAATTTGGAAATATACTCACTAAATTTGATTCTAATTTCCCTGTGCCTAAATACAACGATGCAAGTGTTATCCTCCTTTTAGCATTTTTACATTTCTCTATGAGCGTAGAATAAAATATACTTGGCTCGTGAATTATTTTGATCTAGAAACAAAAATCTCTTAGAGCTGAATCTCTTTTAAACCAAGCAGTGCTCCTATGTACCTTCGAACCATTTATAGCGAAGCAAGGTGCACTTTTGTGCAACCAAGTCAATGTATGTTCAGGATGCACTGTTTCATAATCTACATCTTTCTCTTCAGCCACCATAGTAATGGGTGCAATATCTCTTACGACAGAGGAACAAGAGAACTTTAATTCTGTCTGACTAGACAGCTTCTTCGTACAAAACCTAAAGTGACATATTCCAAATTTTAATTTTATTCTATTTATAGCGATTGACACTATCTACATATATAATTTCCAGCACAAACGTAGATCCGAATCGAACAATAAATTAGCTAAAATTACACGAGTTTCATTCATAAAACGTGAATCGTATCATTCGAATGAAATTCAACGAAATTGACATGAGCATGTATGTCTCGAAGAACTGCATTGTCCCTAACGGATTTTATAATATATTCATCGCTGCTGAAGATTCTTACGTTCTGTAAACTCTTGATAAACATTTGTCGACTCCGCGTGTCATTTTACGTCAGAATAACGTTGTTTTTCATATCACATCAACAGAGGTTAATCTAATTTTATCTGCTTTGATAAGATTGACATATTGATTTGATGTTTTAAAAGTTCTACTCACCGCTTTATGGTTTTTAAAATTAAGCTACGCATGAGTAGACTTTTAATAAATTGTAAAACATTAAAGAATACAAATTACGAACTCAGCTCTTTCCTTTCAATCGAGAATTGAATGGAATTGAACGAAATGTGATCTCTTGGACTCTATACTCGATCCACACGTGTTGCATACAATTTACACCTTGCTTTTTATACTAATTTCGATTAACAAACGACTTTTTTCTGCATAAATTTAAAAGAAAATGATTGCAGATGTGTAATTACAATGTGCATTCATTTATGGTTTATGCTCGCACCTTTACCGGTCAGATGCTTCCCGGAAACGAAGAACGTGTATGAATAAAGAAATAAATAATGGGAAATTTAAAGTTCATTTTAGCATATGAACGATAAACAATGTAATTTAATTTTAGAACTGCGCTCCCACGTTTTCTAGATGCACTGCTGGTATTTAATTCGCAAAGGACAACGTGCAATGCAACTGAAAAGTCTACGTAAGGAACATCGATACTCAGATTATTTATAGAACGTGCCGAGAGAGATTGCAAATTCAAAAGTTTAAAAATTATACATATTCTGTTTGCATATGCAAATTCCACGCCAAGCGCCTCTTGTCGGAGACACTTGGAGTTAGTGATCGATAGAAAATAAAGAGTATACCTAGGAAAGGGGGTGATTCTTCAAGATTCGCGTTGAAACAGAAGTGTAAAAATGGATATCAATGTTAAGAAATTTGTGAAAGATGCTGGTGCTGTGTTCAGTAGAGTCGTACAGGTAAGAAATCTTTGCCATGGTAATAAAACGGATTTTCGTTAACGAGAATCCGTGCTAAGACACTTGTAATTGAACGCTGTCATTCCTGACATTTTGTACTCTTTTTTTTCAATGAAGTAACAACCGCCTGACAATCGGTTCTCTACTTGAACTTCACGAAATAATTTATTCCGCGATAACTTTTACTTAGGGAGCATCATCCAACAGTTTTTGTTTAAAAATCTTACATATCAAGGTCTAAGGTTAATATAAATATATCGAATTTTTAAGATTGTTTGTACTACTGTTCGTTAATTTTTTTCGCGTTTAATAGTATTACTACCTCAGATTTCCTAATTCTAAACAAGAATCGTAGAATTGAAGTGCGAAATAAAGTTCAATAATTGATCATTTGATGACTCAGAACATATCAAATGAGTTGGGAATGACTAAGAGTTGTCCTTCTTAATTTTTAAGCTTGATTCATCGTTACTGGGCTAAAGACGTTGCTTTGATATTGAAAAAATATTTCTTGAGATCTCAAAAATCAAAATTAATGACTGCCTTACATTAAGGCATACTAATGAAATTAAATTACTTGTTTTGTTAATTTGAAAGGAAACCAAAGTCAATGTATAGAAATACGCTGGTAATTTAAAATGTTGAACATTTTGCTTAGTTGACAGAGGAAACATTGGGAACATCAGAAAAAACTGAATTGGATGCTCATTTAGAGCATCTTGCAGACAGGGCAAATGCGACTAAAACATGGACTGAAAAGATTCTCAGGAATATGGAAGCAGTACTTACTCCTAATCCAGGTATAACAAATTACTACTGCGATAGATTTGCGTTCTAATGTTCGCTACATGATGTACTCGACTGTAGGAAACAGAGTTGAAGATTATTTTTATGAGAAGATCGATAAAAAGAGGCCTAGCAGATTGACTAATTTAGAATACATGGGAATGGACATGATAGAAGCTGGAAATAATTTTGGTCCAGGAGTGGCTTATGGTTTGTACATAAATTTCTGTTCACTAATGTTCATATTTTTGCTCACGTAATAAAATGTTACAAACTTCTAATTCAGGCAGTGCATTGAACAAGGTTGGTCAATGCCAACAGAAGTTGGGGCAGATTGAAAGGAATTTCATTAAAGATGCAGCGATCTGTTACATACAACCGTTGAGGAAATTTTTGGAAGGTGAAATGAAAACTGTCACGAAAGAGATGGCAATATTGGAAAATAAGAGGTATGTGTGTCATGTTTTTAACACGTTCAGATGCACGATTTTAATACTATTATTTTTAGATTGGACTTGGACTCGTGCAAGAACAAAGTGAGGAAAGCGAGAAGTATGTTGGGGCAGCAGAGTGTAAGTTCTGTTATTTCTCATTTCATTTAATTATGTACTCTGTATGTTTACTATGTGTTTTGTCCCTATGCATTGCTGCATCATATAGGAGTCTGGAGTATCACCTGAAGTGTTACTCGATCAGGTATTAACGTAGTTGATACCTTAAGTGGTACAAAAGTAGCTTATTTTTTACTTTTTCTGTTTAACAATCGTTACTAGATTTTTATATCGATTCATTCATCATCTCATTTTGTATGCACTTATGAAAATACCCTATTTTATTCAGTGCAACGTCCTCGACTTATAAGTTACTTCAACAATTTTTAACTTTTAGACAGAATTATGATTTTTGCTAACTATATTAAAAAGTAAATCTGTTCATTACTCTACTTAGGCAGAGAGGGAGTTGAGAATAGCACAATCGGAGTTCGATCGCCAAGCGGAGATCGTGAAATTACTACTAGAAGGAGTTCAAAGTTCTCATGCTGGACACTTGCGGTGCCTGCACGAATTCGTCGAAGCACAGGCTCGTTATTACGCTCAGTGTCATGCGACGATGCAGGACTTGCAACGTGAACTTGCTGGGTAAGCGTGATCTTCCTTGGTCCAACTTTATTCTTTTCTTAAATCTCGTTTAATCATCCTGCACTACCCTTGTACAGCTATCCTACTCTCTGGTGATCCGAGTGAGTAATGTTTAGCAAATTAATGAATGCTTCTCTGGTGATCGGAGTGAGTAATGTTTAGCAAATTAATGAATGCTACGCCACGTGTAACGTCTTAAAAGTATTTAGACCGAGCTTATAGAACCATTACTCATTCGCGATGATCATCATACTGTAGACAATTCCGAGTTTCACTATTCGGAACTCTGCTTACGTTTATAAACGTGGTATATAGTTAGTGTTGATTTCTTTTAATAGCGACCGTTTCCACTCTAGCCCTGTGCTTATTATTATTATTTAGTTTCTCAACATTCTCTCTCTCCACTTTCTCTATCTTTGCTTGCATGATTGGGATTGCAGGGCGCGTCAACCGAGTCCTTTGCTGCGTGTCAACAGCGAAGACGTGATCGAGTTAACACCCTCATCTTCACAATCCCAAATCTCCCCTATAAGCCCACCACTAGCTGGTTCTACCTATGTTTCTGCTACCTTTGATACCGATATCTCGAAAATTTAGATTTAAAACTTGTTGATCGTATTAAGAAAAAGAGGGCAATAATTACTTCGTACACTCGCAACCTAAACTAATAACGAGAAGCTTAGGGAACAGATATTTCTTCTCTAACTATACATATAAGCATAATATACACATGTTAAACTAATGCAACGATTTTAGAAATATGTTGAACAATTCTTAGTCTATTACATTGCTACTACAAACTTGTAATTGTGAACAGATCAGTCAATAAATTAACTTTATGAGACATTTAATTACTGTTAAACTTTGTACAATTTAGAATTCAATCCGCGAGTAATTACGAAATTCATTCTTAAGCTTTATTATATACGTTCCTGTATTATAAATGAATCAATGTCCAAAATATGTGCTGCATTATTTACTGATATTTCTTTTTATTGCATGCTGTTCGATTTGTTAGCACTAATAAAGTACCTAAAGAGGTAGGCTGTGAAGCGTTCTTTCAAATAACTGTGTGACACGTGTATCTCTCGAAATGATCTTCTTTCCCATGTATTGCCAAACCGCTTATGCCTTCATATGTATAATTTTTCATTAATTTCAACTAATACTTATTTATACCAATCATGTATATTGTATCAAATTTATTCGAATAATAGTATCCTCGGAATAAGATATACTTGTCGATATTTGACTCTAAATTATTTTATATGCAAAAATGATACTATAACAAAAATGTTACGTATCAAGGAAAATATGTTAAAAATAATTAACTCGTTTTGAGAAGCATGTACCGAACTTATCCAGATTGTAATTTATCCTACCCAGCTTATCTGGGGGTCCTTATCACCCGACAACCGCACCAACATCCAACGTAACAGACGGCGATGAACAACTAGCAAGGGTATTATGCGATTTTACTGCGAGTAATTCCGAGGAATTGAGCGTCGTGAAAGATGAGGTAACAAAATTTGAGATCTAGACTCTAGACGAAACGAGGCATGCTCGCAGCGTAGCGATGCAAATGGCATGAGATGTTACGTTAAAAATGAATTTTGTCATGTTGTTCGAATATTGGCAATTTGGAAAATTTTATAGTTTCATTTGATTCTACAGCCTTCATTCCTTTTAGCTAGGCTATGATTCTATCGATAATGAGTAGTGATAAATTGGTACATTCTTTACAAGTATACATATGAATGCATCTTTTTTACTTATTATAGGCAACTAGAAAAAATGTAGAGAACATTAGCGTTATTCGAATTTGAGTCTTAAAGCATTTTATTTTGATAGTATGTACGATAAGGATGGTATATTGCAAAATATTAGTGTAAATACGTTTTTATAATTACGTCCATCGTAAAAATAATGCAAGTTGCTGAGATATATACATTGGGATTGCACACGAATGATACTCGAATAGCATAAGTCTTTTCTGTTACACTTTATAGATATACCTATGATGCATGATACCTTTACTCTTTTTAGTTGTAAGTTTTATACGTGCATATTATAGAGTTTTCTTATTTTTGTTAAATTTATTCTCGACTCTTGACGTCTGCGTTCTTTCCGGTTTTATCTGTATATTTGTTTAGATATCGAAGATTATTGTTATGTGTATGCTTAGAGGCAAAACACACATGTACATTTATTCGAATTCTGCATGTATTAAATAAATTGTCATTTATTCTGTTAAATGTATTTTATTTGTTTCATCACCTCGAACATACTTTCAGCTTCCATGGGCTTTTACCTTTAGCTTGTTTTTATGTCTTTACAAATTCTATTTTGAACGGTCGACACAGTGTTAACGTGTTCGAATATTTGAAATTGCTAAACTATCTTCTAGGTAATCAACGTAATTGAGATACCGGGTGATGACGACTACGTAACAGGCATAAGTGGAACAAGACGCGGAAAAGTGCCGGCAGTGTATTTAGAGCTAATTGATTCTACACCACGAAAGTTCAATTATTAATTACCCTCAATGCACGTTCCGTTGTATTTGAATATTCTATTCTCTACTCGATTTCAATTAAGATTCTCATGCACTGCGAAAACATTTCTTCTACTTTGTGCAACGAGTTTAAAAGATATACTTCTATCCCGAAAAGTACGATTACTCACAGAATTACTATTTTTCTGTGGAATCTATATAAGTGATATTGTATATAATAAAAATGTAAACCCGTAATATATGCATATCAAGTACCAAATAGTCAATACTCAAAATGCAAGCTCGAAATTATAAAAATGAACTACCTGTATATATGAATGAATTATTGTTGAAAGAAGCGTTGTATTCTCGAAATGTGAACTCTACGTTATATGCTGATATTGTCTGTTATGAATAAAGCAGATATACCGATTAAGAGGCCATTCTGGTAATCAGATCAATCTCTTCGAATAGGTAGGTCTTTTTTTTAATTTATTCATAATCAAGAAAATACAAAATTACTTCTTTTTCGATACACCCACTGTGCGTCCACGGCGACCAGTGGTCTTTGTGTGTTGACCACGTACACGGAGACCCCAGTAGTGTCGCAAGCCCCTGTGAGCACGGATCTTCTTCATACGTTCCAAATCCTCACGAAGTTTCGAGTCGAGATACGAACTCGTCAACTACAGAACCGAAACATCACCTTTATAATTTCCATAATTAAATGATTCAAGTATTATGTATTACAATCAATATGTTGCATGTTAATTGACTTATCTCTAAGAACTATTTAACGCGACAATGCTAAATAGTGATCTATCATGCAGTTTCTTTAGCACAAGCTACCATCTGAATCATACTAAATGGATATGAACAGTCGTGAAGTTGTGCTGTGTCAAATCTGACGTTAGAGTACAATCATTTTTACCGACCTGTGAGTATTTGCCATCTACAATATCTTTTTGCCTGTTCAAGAACCAATCTGGAATCTTGTACTGCCTGGGATTACCCATAATCGTAACGATTTTCTCAACCTTGTTACAAACGAAAATCAGACAATCGAAGTTCATGTAATGGGAAATATCAGAACATGAGAACGGAGACTTACTTCTTCCTCTGAACATTCTCCAGCACGCTTGTCGAGGTCGATATCGGCCTTTTTCAAAACGATGTTGGCGTAACGACGCCCGACACCTTTAATCGCAGTCATGGCAAACATGACTTTCCTATTACCGTCAATATTCGTGTTCATGACACGAAGAATGTGTTGAAACTTCTCTGGAATTACGAGCGACTGAAACAAGACATCGAAGCCTAATCTTAAACTTGATACAAATTGAAAATAGTCAAATCACGGAGGTTTACTTCAAGAACGCACATAGGCTATGATTTGATAGGAGTACTGGCAAAGGAAGAAATATATATGAGAAATTTCGAGAGGAGACGAGGAAACAACGAAGTGGATGCCAGAGATGTGTCAACTGTAAGAAAGGATGCAGCAGAAAAGGAGAGAAACTGATACATTATGTCTCATAAACCACTGACAACTATAGATGTTATAAACATTATAATATTATATAGACTATTGATTCTTATGATCAAATGTAACACTCCTTTCAAATGAAATAAACGATTACTAATACTTCAAAAACATTCATTATGAATTTCAAATACTTACTTATAAATGTATGTACCAAAGCCCAACACAAGAATATTTAATGAAAGTCGTTTAAAAAATGGCACTGGAAACTACACTATTTCCTTAACACGCGAGTTAACCACTTCTATCATTTTTTTCTTCTTCAGAAACTTTATATAGAACGATATAATCCATCTGCTGTATCACACAGCAGTAAAAAGTCAAGGTTATGATTAAGGAATCAGGATCAAGGGATTATTATAATTGTTGAATATAATGTACATATAAAATGCATGGTGCAGATGCAGAATATTATACGATAATATTCCTCAAGGATCTAGGAAATATTGTTATAATCGGACGCAGAGACGATCATTCTATTAGCTTTCGCCAAAAGTTTGTGTTATTCATGTAGGATTCCAATAGTAATGAAGGATTTAAAATTGAAATATACAAAAACTCACCATCTTACCGAATCCTCTGTCAAGATTGAAACGATATAATGTACCGATTTACGCAGAAAGTACCTGCCGCTGCGAACAGCACGTTCCAACACGTTGACGAAAGGAAAAAGAAAATGGCCGACGCTTGAGCCAAGGAGCGGGAGAGTCACGTTACCGCGCAGGCGCACTAACGTCAACTGACGAGACTCCCAGTCCCTGGAAATTCAAAATTATGTCGCTCTCACTGAGTTTAATTATTACTCACGGACGGCGCTATGTGTTGAAATTCGTTAAATCTTACAACAGTTACAACTGTGGTGGATATTGATAATGCCAGAACATTGCAATAAATAAAGAGTTTTTTTAATACTTAAATCTTACAACACTGACCACAAGTGCTTCAAATCTCAAATCCTGACGAACGCAGTGATGATATAAGGTAGAATACAATTAATTCGTGTAACAATGCAAATGAGTTCCAACTAAAATTCGAATTAAAATCATAGTCAGAAGCTTGTTACCTCGCTATGCATCTAATAAAAGTCTTTGAATCCGTTTAAAATCTGTACTTTGATCGACACGTAAACAAAGTCTCATATTTTAAGCTTTACTGCACGTATTTTAATGACAACGCGACTTAAATTAAAGCTAGAGATTCGATAGAGACTTTAGGAAGATACAACATTGCTCACAGTTGCTCGAATAGTCGAATACAGATAATAAGAAATATATGCGATGTAAAATAATGCTCGAGAAATGAAACTACGATTGTTTGCAGTTTTCACTTTCTCTTTTTGTTACATAAGATCAGATTTCAATAAAATATTCATTGTTCGATAGAATATCTTGGAAAAATTTTGGAGCACAGCTACATGGCATAATAAAATCCCGTCTCGCGGGTGTAGTTTCGATAACTCAATAAAAAGCGAAGAACTGAAAAGTAATCGGATATCCAGAAAGAGTACCATTTCCCGACGTCTTCCTCCTTTCATCCACGATTTGGGAGGGTGGAGCAAGAACGAGCGTCCAGAGGGTAATCGGGAGAAGGAATTCCAAGGTATGATACCCCTCTGATTCGTTTTACGATGGTCGTTTCCTCGAATTAGGACGAAATAAGAAAGAATTCGTGAATACGCTTATTTCGGCCAATCCGCTGGAACGCGAAATATAAACGCGTATCATATAAATATGCAAACGTTCATATATGGAAATACATGACCACGTCTTCAAGATATGAATGAGGTCTCATATTACTTTCTATTTTACCGTGTATTCAATTTGCGAATGCTTATAAGGCTACTGCGTACTGGAAACAGTCGATCTTGAGTTAATAATTACCAAATGAATAGTAAATAGAAAATGCTTATTTGTAGTTGTATAGATGCAAAATCTAACTGATGATTCGAAAGTGTTAATTTTCGTGATGCGTGACGCTGTGACGCTTGGGAGGAATAAACAGGGAACTGGCCGTTCGAATAGCATGAACATTTAACGATACAGAGCACCTATGGCCACCGGGGCACGTGCTGACATATGGGCTTTAGGGCTTTGTCGGTATCCAGTGGTCTCTTTGCGGGGGTGGTAAATGGGGTGTCATCGTGTTAAATGGCCCTGATGCCCGCGAATCCATTCAAGGCATGCCTCTGCCAATTCTTGCGGCTAATTTCCACCGTTTATACGTTTAATTGCTCTTCCAAGCCACCTGGACTACCGCAGCCACACGAAACTATCTCGTCCGAGAGAATTCCAGATTCCCCTTTTTATTGGTTCCCGAAATCTATCGACTTCTATTGTTACTTATGGGAATAGGGTGTCACTCGTCTGATGAATTAGGTCGACTCGTATGAAACGAGATTGAAATTTTTCAGTCGAAAATCAGTTATCACGCTTGTCACGTAAACGTTATGCTTTTATGAGCATACAATTATAAAGACCGCCAGTTTTACGACTAAGAAACTGGAATCGCTTCTTTCGTGGTTGGAAAAAAGTGAAATTCGAAGAACTGGAACGCAACCTAATGCGGTTTTATGACGATGAATGGGAGAAGTCGGTCCTCCCATGAACAGGGTCCTCACCGTGTACATCATCTTAGTGTGCAGCATCTTTGTCGTGAAGGTCGTTTCCTTTTTCCGGAAGTCAACTTTCTATTCGGCTACTGAACGCCCTATTACCTAGCAGCGTTACTCTTCCTTCGGGCAACCGTTGCACATAAATCATGCCAGATACATCACCCATTATTATTTATCGCAACTTCTCTCCAGAAGCAGCATCCTTCTTTTTTCTCAAGCTCGTCATTTTTTACTCACTTTCAAATATTACCCGTTTCTCATAAGCGTCCACATTTTTAATTCTGACTTATTGATTGACTTCCAATATCCTCGATCATTTTATTTTATTCATACAGATGAAGAAGATATCGTCGACACGATTTGAACTTGAATATTCATTTTTCAAACGAGAACGTTTTCAAATGAGTGAGAGCACTAAATTCAGACAGCTCAGCTGGGAATCGGCATGATAAAGAATCGGCGAGTCCAGCAACTTTCTACTCCTCATAACGGCAGGAAGTATGATCGGCAATAATGCACAGTCCGATCGCGTTCAAACGGTGACCGTGACGAACACCGATTTCCCAGCACGGAGCCATTTCCAGCAGCCTCTTCGGCTTTGGAAGTGCCACCCGCAATCTTTGTCGGCAAACAGGGGTTCGTAAATTATGGTAGGAACGTCTCAATGTTGGCAGGACCCTCCCTTGGCATTGTCTACGAGGTACCGGAGTGTTAGACACGCATCCCGAACCTCACGATCAGCTACTTACACAGTCAGACTCCGAAATTTAGTTCACTTATTGCATTCTCATTGTCAGTATTAAACACTTATAACTATACATATAGTGCAATACCATTTATGCTGACTTTCAAAGGTCTGTTTGCTCTCGATATCCTAAGCAATCTTATACGTTACGTATTTATAATTTTCCAAATCTGCAGTCTACTTGTCGGAATAATTATCGGACAACGAAAGTATATTACAGAAATGGGGATCCTTTCTAACACTAGAAGCCACATTTAACTTAGGCAGTAATGAAAGAGGCCGCTATAATTATTTATATTTCATTGTTGGTACTTTTATTTGTTTAAGCATATATATTCATCCAAATCTTTAAGTTTTAATGAACAACTACATATTTAAATACCATTTCAAATAAACATAATATTAGTAGAAGAATTTTTACATAAATTTATTATTTTATAAAGGAACACAATAGAAAAATAATAATATTAATTTATAAATAAGTAACATAGCAA